CCTGTACCATGATGCCTCAACCTCGGCCGCAGGGATACGGAATACAAACTTTTCGGGACAGTACTGGGCATCCTATACCACAAGACCGTCCCAGCTGCCGCGCATAGCCCATACGGCTGTTGGTGCTAAACTCTCGGCCTAGAAACCGTTACCACAATCCCAATTCAATACCCCTAGAATCCTGGAAACTCAATCCCTTGACTCGAATATCGCAAAACCTAAACCCGAAAGCCCAAACCTACTGCCAAACCGAAGAGCCCAAACAAATCCTCATGCCCGGAACCAAATCCCCTCAATCTCTAAGCCTAATCTCTATGAACCCCAAACCCTCAGCCTTTGAACCCAAATCTACCCCTCTAAACACCGAAGCCTGACACTCCCAAAGGCCGTGAAGCCTTCACAACCCTCACACCAAGCCCTGCCTCACTCTTGCAGGCCTCAGTGTGCTGGATTCAACGAAAGGATGGAAGGCAGACCGGCTAGATGAAGGATCTTGAGACCAGAATTTAGGGCCTACTTCCGCAAAAATGTTCAAGGCCTCTCACTCTGGGATGTCTGTGGTTTCAGGTCGATGACTCAAGTTCGGGTGTCACGGCCAGGTACAAAGCCTCGACGGTGCCACCTAACCTCTTCCCCCTCAAGTCCGAACTCATCATGTTCCATGTTGATTTTGAAGTTCCAAGCCTTGAGTTAAAGTCCTGAAGCCCACGCCCTGCGAAGGCAGCTGACTTCAGGTGGCGGGAGGCCGTGGTGGTTTGTGCTACAGCTTAGGATGTAGGAACCGGCAGGCACTGATTGCACTTCTTTCCATCTACCAAACGAAAGCCGTCATGCCAGGAACGAACATGTGAACAGTACTCAGCCAGAGTGAGAAGATCGACATCTGAAAGACTCAGCCTCGCAGCCTTGATGCGGCATGGCACCGTTGGCCCGATGGGTTGCACTCGGTGACCTGGACCTCGCGTACAGCTTCTCGCGGGTCTTGAGTTGTTTTGGCGTCGATGTGCAAGTTTCGAAAAACATGTCTACTACTCCTTGCTTTCCTTTACATCCTTTGTACGACCCTGGCCAACTAAAGCAGATCCGAAACGTTGATGGAAGGCTCGGCTTGCTCAGTGCCTTCTCTTCCTCAGCGGAGAGGTGGAGTTTGGGGTCGGGGGGAAGGTGGGTTTCAAGGGTGACTCAGGTGTGGGGGGCTTTGATATTGAGAGGATTTGACTTTGGGGTGTAATCATGGCTTTGGCTTTGGGGAGTTAAGGAGCAAGGGATGCAGATTCGGGATTGAAGTTCTCAGGGAAGAGTCAGGGCTCATATTGTTGCGAGTTCCTCGGAGGCGTGGTTCTTGGTTTTTGCCAACGGTTTCTGCGTGGAGGGCCTGGATGACTGTGTTGAGGGCACTTGATGTAAGACTTAGGGTGACTTAGGCCTCTCGAGTTGTTTCTTTTTGAGATTGCGGTCTTGCTTGGTTTTCACGATCGTATTTGTGCACACGCGCTTGTGTACAGTATGCACCTACGCGCAGACATATGGAAGTTTCCGAATATAGGGGACCCTAATGTAGTACCCTAAATAGTAGGATCCTTATCCCTAATTTCCCGAAGCTTCCATATATACCTTGGATCCACAACCTGGTGCTTGTCTGCAGCAGGCCCACTACACGCAGGGTGCTCTGGACGCGCTTTGGAGACAGTTCCGAGAGAGGCACGGCAACACCGGGTTCGTGAGGGTTTCTAGGTGATGGCTTTGCACGGTTTTGTCGGAATCTTACACGGGTTTCCCATGTGATTGTGGTTAGGGTTTATGTAGACGACCAGTATACACAACGTGACAGCTCATCTGCCATGTTGTATTCATGAGGTCAAAACTCCGTGCCTTCGTCCTTGCTTGTTTTGGTTGGGATGTCGGCTGTCGCCCCGTTCAGGAACCCAGCCGTTTTGCTGGGAAATTCCTCCGCGGAGGCGCGTCCGTCTTTCATTGCATCCTTTGTCAACTTTCCGTATGTTTCGGAATTTGAGGGCCTGCAAAGCTTTTGCATTCATGATGCAGCAGCATGCAGAGGCTGGTCTTGGTGGGTTTCTGCACAAAGCAAATGCTTCAGAACCTCAAACCCGTGCATGTAGCTACTAGAGCAGCCAGCCTGAGTAGTAGGTTAGCCCAGAGGCGACCAGTGGCGAAGCGCTGAGGGAATTCTTTGCGGCAGCGATGACTTTGCGGCGGCGCTCGCTGCCACCAGGTTGCAGTAGGGAAGGAATGAAGCACATGCATCTAGTTGGCCTAGTTTGAGGGTATAAGGACCCGGACAGGGTGATTTCCAGAACACCTGGATCGTGATGTTTATGTGCAGTTTTGGGCAACCCGGTGCCGCCAGGCCAGAAACTCTCTAAGCCTTGCTCCTCTTGTGGGTTCAACAGCCGGTCAAAAGCAGGACGAGCATGAAACTCAATCCGGTTGGTTTTTGAATGCAAAGAGCATTCTGCAGAGATTTCTTGCATGATAGATGTAGACTGTTTCGCAGAGCCTAGCTAACTGAATCTGCATCCCACGGAAAGGAACAGTCTTGATGGCCACCCTTCCCAACAACCCTCTGGCCTGAAGCCTAGGAATCCCCTCAAGAGCGGTGCAAACCGTTATTCCTGAACCGTCCTCACCTGCCGTCAGAGCCCGCCAAAACCTGTGCTAGGCATTAAGACCCGAAACAGTACGCTTCAAACCGTAGGACGTGCACGACCGCACGACCCGCAGACCTTAACTTTTCCAGGCAAGAGGTCAACTCCTGGAAAGAGGCAGCAGCTTTCAGAGTAGGAGACATCGAGTAAGTCTGGCATACCATTCAGACAGGGACTTGGTTTCTGGCTAAAGGTTGAACCTATGACAAATGTTGCTGGTTGTTGCAAGCGGTTGTCGGATGTGCACAGTGCTGGCGGTTACTTCTATAAAAGCGCTTCGTTGTGGTGAGTTGCTGTATTGTGTGATTCGCATGGCAAATCGCCACACTCTCTGCCCAATTGTGGAAAGCCATCACATCCTGAACTCTCAACTCCCAAAGCCTGTTCCTTACCGAATCCCTCGAAACCCCATATGCAATGTACCCCAATCAATATTTGACCCTTCAACTGCCCACGAATCCTCGCACCAACCCCCTGAACTTGCTCAAGTCACCGACACGTGCCATTGTAGCCATGTTTATCAATGCAAAGAAGTGCAAAGACATCATACCCAACTTGGCGGGCCCGCAGTGTATATCCCAAATCGCCTTACAGTTTTTAAATGTTCAGAGTTAGCACGAGACGCACCCTAGCTAGCAAGTGGCAGGCTCCCGTTGCCCAGCTGTTTGTGGAGCCGCGGTCGTTTGCACGGCGACAGCGGGAGAGATTGTTGGGCCTGAGCCCTGCAATTTTCAGCTTTCGTTGCCAGGCTTGGGGTGTGCGTCGAGGATCGTTGCCTTTGGGCGTGGCTCTCCGAATTGTAGGGCTCAAGGGCTCGATGGTCCTGGCCTGTGTGGTGCAGGCTTGGATGGCCTAGCCTTACCCTCAAATTCTGAACTTAGGCTACTAAGAATGGCTGAGATTGACTGCTTCGGCCTGCACATCCGTGAGGCCAAGCCTACCAGCGACTCCTTGATGCCGGGCTCCCTCCGGAGGCCCTGCCCTTGGGAGCGGATCTGAGGAAGTGGGACGAGCTGGTTTGGTCCTCGAAGCTTCCCACGTTGTCGTAAGAGCTCCACCCGAAACAGCTCAATGGACCCAAAACATGAAACTTGGAGGAATTCTCAGAGGTAGGGGGGCTAGAGGAATGATTAGAAGCGAAGCTTCAGCACTTGACAGGTCGCTTTCAACAAGCTGGACAGCGATGCAGACGGTGAGGCCTTGTATGACCCAAGGGCGCATTCCAGATTTGATGTCCCCTTCTCGTAAACGCTTAAAAATGTGGCACAAATACACGGACTTGTTTGAACAAGTCTCAGTTTTCGGAGCCGGGCTGAGTTTAAGATTTCATCCATCCGACAGCCTGTCGGGGACACTCGTGAGTCTTGTCACAGCCAGGGCCCTGGGCAACGAGGCCAAGCCACGCAGAAACCAGTTTAAGTAGGTGACAAAGGCCTGAACCAAGAGAGTCTGTGCCGCGGTTGGTCTCGCAGCCCCTTATATCATAACTCATCCTCAACCCCGGTAGACACAGCTTTCAGGGTTCTGGACGACAACCCCAAGGCTTTGGATGAGGATCGCTCAGAGTTCAAGTTCCCTAAACGCCAGCGTCCCTTCCGCAGCTCGCCGCGGCGGATTTCGCAGCCGCGGGCCGCGTTGGCATCACAATGCCAGGAGAGCTGCTGCTGAGGCACTTCCTATAGAAGGTATCGTCTCAGCTTGTTTATAGTTTCGACGATTACGATCTCTGTGAGATGTTCCTTTTCCTTGTTTTGCACCTTAGGCAGGGGACCTGATGAGGATGGCCCACACCGGGATTAGGATTAGTTCTGGCTCGGCTGCTGTCGTCTTGCTTAGGGGCTTAGGGCTTAGGACGCGTTGTAGCTGTGCTGAGTCTTCTGTCACAGAAAAGTGATGAGTTCCAACTAACTTTTACAAGGAGTCCAGCTTATGCATGTCAGGCTCTTTGAGACCGTGGATACCGCGCGGCGGGGCCTGATCAGTTTGGAGGAGACATCTGCTCTTGACATCGGGCATTTAGAGTGGCTCATCTTCCATCTAAGCCTGGCTGAATGTCAATTTCAGAGTAATGGTTGCAAGACTTGTTCAGGAGTTCAGTCGTGTATAAGTGCACACGGATTGGGGAGCGGCCTTGCATCTCGTGGTGTAGAATGGGCTTGAGAAGTTACATGCTGAACGTAAGACCGAGATCCGAAGATCTGCCAGGTCAAAGCGCGGCAACATGTGGCTTCTTCAATCATTCGGCTCAACTCTTCTTTTGTTTTTTTGACTCTGAGACTGTAGAGCGCCTCGCACGCGAGGCGAATAAGATCAGGTGCACGTGCTCAGAGGTTCATGAAACGACTCCTGCTCCTCTCATCTCCATTTCCTCACTGGCCCAGACGGAGCGGTTTCGCGTTTTGGGCGAGGTGCGAGCCAAGTGGTTCATGGGGCATTGCAGAACCTCAGGCTTCTACTTCGGTCGATTATTACGAAGATTGCCCACCGGGCCGGATCCGGTGCCAAGATTTGCTGCGAATGGTGGAAGAAGCTCGGAGCCCGCCAGACCGAAGACGTGGGAAGACTGGGCTTCCAAGGGCTGCTTCTCAATATCTTTATAGATCAACGCTTCGAGGTTGGAGTACCACCCTGGCCTCCACAGCCAGCACCAGAGACCGCAAGAAGGGCCGGCAGTCCGACATAGATTCAAACCATCTTCTGGACCTTGTACTTGAGCAAGGTGGTCTGTGTGCATATTCTGGAGTACCAATGCAACTGCTGAAGCCGCACTCACACTGGAGGGCTTCCATCGAAAGGATCGACAACGGGCAAGGCTATGTTAAAGGAAACTGCTGTCTGATTGCAGCTGAGTTCAACTCAGCAGTGCACAAGATGTGCAGCAAAGGGGGGTTTTCTGGATCTGCGCAGTGGTCCAAGCAGAAGGTGCAGGAGGTGGCCCGCGTCCGGACAGAGCACGTGCAGTTGCAACAGCTGTCGGAGGATATCGCTGTCGCCAGGCTGCGCCCTTCTCCGTGTCGGACAACTGGACGCAGGTTATTCCGAGGACCGGATGCAGAGGGAAGGTGGCAGTGCCGACGTTGTTGCATTTGGAAGTGGCAGTCACAGTACTCAAATCGCAAGGCAAGCAGTACTGGGCTGCGAAACACTTGCAAGCAATGTGCTTCTGATATGGAATCAGCCTGGCTGCAGACACTTCGCGGACATGGGATGAGGCTGCTGACTACCGGACGCCAGAGAGCCGGAATGGGCACGTGGACTGGAAGTTTCGCGCTGGTTTTGGACGACCTGCTGGAAATGCTCTGGCTCCAAGGTGGGCGCTGCTACTACTCAGGTGTACCGTTGCATTGTGCAGCGGGCCCTGCCGATTGGGTTTGGTCCATCGAGCGCCTCGACAATTCCGTGACATATACCAAGGAGAACTGTGTGTTGATCGCCCGAGAGTTTCAGACTTCGGACCAGAGTCGTAACAAAGCCAGGCATCCAGTGTTCGGCACTGCCCAGTGGTCTCGCCGCAAGGTCAGTCACATTTGGGGACCATGTTCCTGGGAAGTAGACTTGTGGAATCCCTGTGTTCCCTGCGGTAACAGCCAGTAGGCTCCTTTGAGTTCAGCAAATTCTCGCGGCATGAATGGACACTTCAAAAAGGGCATCCTGGAGCACATATGTTGAGCCGAAGCCCGAGAGGTCCCAGTCCTTGTGCCACAACCGACCCACAAACACACCCAAATCAGCAGGATCAACAGGTTGCACCTCGAAAGATGGCATCTTGGGACTCGTCCACTCGTAGGGTTTCATAGAGCTATAGAGTCTTCTTTTGCCTTGAGACCCCAGCTCGTTAGGTTTCGGGGCCCTTTACGGTCGATTTCGTTTTTGAGCACACGGCAGCTGTTCAATTCAATGGGAGCTTGTCGATCATCAAGATAACCTGCGCCTGAAATCCTCAGCAACGCAAACCGTTAAGATCCTTCTTGTTCCACAATCCCTATTGCCTGAATCTCCGAGCAACGGTTGACTCTCTTCTGGGTCGTGCTCTTCCCGATGGCCTTCCGAAACCTGCGGGTCTTCAGCTTAGAACTCACAGGAGTCGAAGCATTTTCCACGGGAAGCTTCGAGTAGCCTCGGGACTCACTACTGGGTAATGACTGTAGCCACTGCGGACCTTTGATCTTTCAACACCCCTCCCCCGATAAGGAGTATAATTTTACCAGGGATCCTCATGTCTCGTCTGGTCGATCTCCCCTCCTCCAAATGAACAGGTCCGGCACCCTAGAACTCAACGTCTCGCCAGAATCAGAAGGTTGAGACCCCATCCTGTTATCTATCTATGCATGTGTACGTTTCTATGTTTCTATATTTCTATGTGTGTGTGTATATATATATACATTTCGTACAGTACAATCAGATACAGATCCAGGGTTTCCTACTTCTGCATGTTTCAGGCTGTCAGTGCATGAGACTTCCGAGCGGTGAAGGGTCTGGTCGGATATTTCGCTGTGCTGCCCTTGTGTTTGTACTGTTTAAAACCAGTTTCGAGTTTTATCTAATCAGCTGTACCTACCGTCTGTCTGATCCACTTAAGTACGCGTTGCAAGCTGGAGGCGGGACTCCATTTTGTTTGCAATCGCAGCCATGAGACGAATCCGGATCTTCGTGTCCCGCTGGCCCGGCCTGAGACACTGCATCCTCTCACCATGGAGCCAGCATGCTGCAAGGTCTGCTGTGGACCGGAATGTGTCGACTTCCACAGTCCAGGACGACAGACAAACCGGCGAGTCCCATCTGCTACGGAGATTTGGCGAGAATGGTCGATGAAGCCCGGGGCCGCCGGAAGGGAAGAGGACCTGGAACTGGTGGCACTTTGGTTTCAAGGTCAGCATACGACTACTGGTACAGATCAACGCTGCGGGGCTGGAGTGTTCAAGCGGCGTCTACAGCCAGACGTGACGAAGAGACGGAAAGAAGGGCCGTCAGACCAACATAGATGCAAACTATCTTCTGGACCTTGTACTTGAGCAGGGTGGCTTGTGTGCATATTCTGGCATACCAATGGAACTACTGAAGCCAAACTCACACTGGAGGGTGTCCGTCGAAAGGATCGACAACCGACAAGGCTACGTCCAAGGAAACTGCTGTCTTATTGCTGCTGAGTTTAATTCATTTGCGCAGTGGTCCAAGCAGAAGGTCCTGGAGGTTGCTCGGGTCCGGACACAAGAGGTGCAGTTGCAGCGGCTGCAGCAGGACATAGCTGTCGCAAAAATGCGTCCATCCCTGAGCCGGACAATCACTTCCTGCAGACACCAAGGACCGGACGCAGAGGGGAGGTGGCCATGTGCATGCTGTGGAAGTTGGAAGCACATGTCACAGTTCCCCAAGAGAAGCGAGAGCAGGGGGGGTTACCAAAGGCAGTGCAAGCAATGCACTAGTGACAAGAAATCAGCCTGGCGACGGACGACGCGTGGGCACGGGCTCGTGCTCCTCGGGAATGCTCGCTGCAGAGCTTCGTCAGCGCACACTTGGACCGGCGATTTCATGCTCGATTTGGACGATGTGCTTGACATGTTGTGGCTGCAGGGTGGGCGATGCTACTACTCAGGAGTCCCATTGAAGTGTGGGGCTGGCCCTTCCAACTGGGTCTGGTCCATCGAGCGTCTTCACAACTCTGTGACATATAACAAGAAGAACTGCGTGCTGATAGCACGAGAGTTCCAGGCAGCTGACAACAGTCGCAACAAAGCCAAGTTTCCAGTGTTTGGCACGGCCCAATGGTCGCGCAGCAAGGTCAGCCACGTTTGGGGACCGTACTACCCAGAATGTTAGGCTCGGTTTGCAAAGACATTGCTCCGTTTGGGCAAAGCAGCGGAGCATCAGTCTTCTTGGAGGAAGGTTCAAACTCGACAAGACACCAGCCACGGCAGGAATTTCGCATCCTCCCGGGCACGCATGAGCCAGAATCTGTTGCCAGAGTTGCCAATTCGGTTTGGATAGGAAGCTATTATGTTACTATGTAGTTCCTACACCGCAGAGCCCAAGTCGACCCAGTCGGTACACGTGCATACAGCTCAGAACCATGGCCTCAGACTCAAGAAACCTGCATACAGGGTAGTCGTCGGTCGCAACCTCTTACAGGCCTGTCTGGCAACCCCGCTTCTTGACAGGAGTGGACCACCGCATTCGAGGTTACAAGGCCTTCCGGCTTGGCCTTGGCAGTTTGGGATCAGAAGCTCTTCGGGCGTACCAGACTATTATTGGTTTTCGGTAGGGAATCATGTTCAACGGAACTTCTTCACCGCCCAAGGTGCGGAAGTTGTAGAGCTGACCTCTAAGGAGAGCCCAACTGTACCCTGTGATGGCTTGCGATCCAGCCAAAAGTTTCCAACGGTTCGGGTCTCCGAACGCCCCGGATCCACCGGCAACGAGACATGAGGCCCGTTTCTATGCTAATCCTTTGTTTGCCATTCGCATGGCCTTCTAGAAGCCACCCCGAGAAACTTTGCAAGTTCACATACTGAACCAAGCCCATTCCTAACCCTCACCGCCGCGGGCCCTTACAGCCCAAAGCATCCCTCGACATAACTAGTTTTGTGAACGGCTTCGATTCTCACACACAAACACAGCCCAAATACCCTTATCAAGTCTGTACCCAGGTTCCGTTTTGATAGCACTCCCTGGCCACTCCCAGTATAAGAGAAAACATACGAGCGGGCTAAGACGAACAAGAAACACAGCATGGCAGCAACAGCGCGGCTTAAGGCCGCCTGCTGTCCTGCCCGGGGGCGGCCTGGAGCCTTTGCCACCGCCAGAGGCCGGACTCCGGGCATTCTTCCGGTTGATTTTGCTGCGGGCTTGATTGCCTGCAGGCTTTCAGCTTTTGAGTTTGTTGGTTGCCGTCTTGGGGCGCGTAAGGGAGGGTAGGGCCAATGTTTCAGACACAGTTGAGTCACCGGAGCATGAGGCATTCGGTTTGCGGCAAGGGTCAGAGGCTTTGTGGTTGTGGCTTCTGTTCAGAAGTTTCGTGCTTGTGGCTTCCTTTTTTTGGGGGGGTTGGGCTTGAGGGTTTGAGAACTTCGGTCAGGGTCATGAAAAAGGATGACGTTTTATTCTAGATTCGAGGGGCTTCAGTGAGACAAGAGCTCAAGAACTAGCGGTTCCTGCTGAGCTCAAACGCTGTCACCTTCGCCTCCCCTGCCCTGGCCTTGCACGCTGGTTTAGGTGATAAACTTTGAGACAAGTAGGTGAGGACTGTTAAGAATACTATTTCTGATTCTGCTGTCGACAGACTTCTGTTTCGTGCTCATAGGGCCCCACAATCCCTGGTCTCAGAGCCTTCGGGCTACTCCCTTGATATAAAGAGAAACCACAAAGCCTGAAACACCGAGCCTTTGAGACGTGGGAGGTTCAGAACTAGTACCTAATTAAAGCCTGCAGAGCTATGTAGCTTTTGAGGCCGTGCCCCTGGATGTGCTCCGAAGCATCGTGTGCGCGCCCCAAACCATCTCTGGGGAAGATCAGTCGGAGAACTTGTTTTTTTCACATTGTATGTTTTCATGATGGGGTCGTCGAGAGGCCTATGTAAACCCCATTGCCTGCAGGTTGTAGTCTCTGTATATTGAAACGCAGTCACGTCAATCAACGTCCCAACCTTGCTCGAGGGCAGAGGCTTACTCTACTTTCGAAGTGCCCTGATGCTTTCAGTCAGGCTCTAAAGATTCACTCGTAGGTCAATTCCTGCAGCTCCGAAACCATGCTGTGTGGGTTTGTACAGACAGATTCAGATGTTTTGATCCTGAGGCCCTTAAAACCTAAATCATCGACTCTGATGGGAGGTGATTTAAAGGGACCCCCCTAAGGGGGTATGCCAAATCGAGTTTCAAACGAGACAAGCAGCTGAGATAGCAAGGCCTAGCAGGCACTAGCAAGCCCTAGCAAAAGCTAGTAGGCCTTTATAGTTTGTTTCGTTATTGAGCAGTTTCGGGCCTTAGTAAGCCTTAATAGGGCCTGCAAGGTGATATCGAGGCACACCGTCAGGTTGTGAGCAGTAGGACTACAACTCCTCCCACTCCTCCTCCTCATCTCCTCCTCCATCAGCGTGAGCAACCTGTGCGCAGTGGGGCGGAAGGCTTTGGAAAGTTTGCGTAGTCCCAAGCCCCGCCGAGCGGGGGCAGCGACGGCGGTGAAGGCGCCTCGGGCTCGCGTCGAGTGGGCTCGAGCTGGAGCGGCTCACTCGAAATCGGGCTCGGGCTCGGGCGCACTTCGCGCAGAGCGGCGGGCAGTGGCGGGGTGGGCGGCGGCATCGGTGGCGGCACCCTCCTTGACTGTGTTGCAACCTTTGCGAGATTTTGCGAGTGTTGTGGAGTGCTGCCGGACGACGAGGGGACAGCACTCCGCAACGCTCCGCAACGCTCCGCAACACTCCGCAACGCTCCGCAAGGCTTGCAAAGCCTTGCAGAGTGCTGCGGAGTGCCCCCCTAGCCCTGGCTGCTGGCCCTGCCCCTGCCGCTTCCTGCCCCTGCCCCTTCACCTGCCTTCCTCCCCGCCCCTACTCCTATCCCTGCCTTGCGCTGCCGCCTGCCCCGCTGCAACCCCTGCCTCTCCCGGCTGACACTGTGATTCTCGGCCCACTCTGCGCCCCTCCGCTCCAAGGGACAAGAAAAGGTTTCATGCCTTCTCGAGCCGCAAGCGATTTGATTCCTGCACCACGGCCAGCGGGTTGGGAGGAGCGGACACAGCAGAGAAACCCTGAACAAGACGACGAAAATCATAGGCGGGCAGACAGGGGTGGGTGGATGCCATGGGAGGATGGAAACAGATGTGCGCAGATGCGTTGCATGCGCATCGGATTCTCGCCAGCCCTTGCTAGTAAACAGTGTTTGCCATACCCCCTTTGGGGGGCCCCTGTAAATCACAATTCATCTGAGCCTGTAATTAAGATCCCAAGCCCTCTAGGGCCCCAGGCCTTATAAACCCCAAGCACCCGTACAACCCTGAACAGCGCAAGCCCAAGCCGAAACTTAGACCCTGAACTCTGAGCCCTTAGCCTAGGATAGAGCTCGTGAATCACAGCTCCTTCACGCCTGTGTGGACATCGGAAGGCAAGGTTTTCAGGGGAGTGCTTGGATTGACGGTTTAAGGTTGTGGTTGAGGTTTAGGGTTCGATTTTTGGTGGTTTAGGGTTTATAGGGTTATGTAAGGGTTTCGGGACTTTGAGTTTTCCGGGTCTGAGGGGATTGGTGTCAGGTTTGAGGGATTTGGCCTTTAGTGGTTTACAGGATGTTGGATTCGGGGGCCTGGGGAGGTGAAGGTCATAGGGTTTGGGGGTTATGGGTTTAGGTTTCAGGCTGTGCAGTTTCGGATGTAATGGCACAGGTTTAGCGGGCAGGAAGTTGATAGTGTGTAGCCTGTAGTCTCTAGGTCCAATTTGCGGATTGGTGGTTGTTGCTCAGGGATGTCTTGGCAGAGCCTTGATGCAAGAGCATCAAGGGTCCTAGGAAGAGTACACCGATTAGGCAGGTATTCTGGTTGTTGATACTCTTCTTCATACTGTAGTCAGATATCGAGGGTGGAGGGCTTGGGGCTTGAAGGGTTTCGGGTTTCGAACTTTTCTAGGTCACGGGTGGACGCGGGGTTGTAGGCAGTGTAAGGTTTATCTTTTGCATGAGAACCTTGTGTAAGGCATTGGTCCCGATTGAGGATTTAGGGCAAGGGCCAAACACGGTTACCTTTCTAGTGGTGGAGCTGCAGGAGAAGGTTCACGGGCTTAGGGTTTTAGTGGCTCCTGCGCAGATTTGCGGGTATGTAAAGCTACAAAGTTACACAGGTTTGTAAGGCTGGGGACTACAAACTAAGGTATGTACCATACGTTCCCGAACTAGTGCTCGTGATTTGGAGGCTATATTATATCTTAAGGTATCCAGCACAATCGATCCAAGCCTTAGGGTTCATGCTTCCGGCATGCGGGGTACGCTGTGTAGTCAAGCAGAGCTACCACAGCTTCGTTCTGTTCGGCGATCAGCTTTCTTCGTGGGATGTTTCGGCTCGCAGGCGAAATCTTTTCAGAAAGATCGTTCTCAACTGATGGGCGTGGCTGTGATGCGGCAAACTTCGTGAACTATTCTTTCAACTGCAACGGAATATTCCCGCATCACTACATGCACCACCCTTCTTGATTCCCCGCATTCCCTTCCTATGCACTTCATCTCCTTCCTTCGCCCTTCCCTCTTCTGACGCCACAAAGGCCCAGAATTCGATCGCTGTCGCCATGTTCTCGTGGTCTTTGGGATGCTTCGACCTGCAGCCCCGCCGTAAAAAGCGTTCCCGCGGGTTGGCCCCGAACACCATGATGAGTGATGAGGCCGGGTTTCAGAGCTTTCAGGGTTTTTCGGGGGATTTCAGGATGTTTTGGGGGGGTTGATGAGTGATGAGGCCAAGTCGGGGGCTTTTGGGATTTCAGGATCTTTTGGGATGAGTGATGAGTGTTGAGGCCGGGTCGGGGGCTTGTGGGGTTCAGGGGTTTCAGGCTTTTCGGGGTTTCAGGGCATGACGAGGCCGAAGGCGTGTACAGCGTAATGTTTCAACTTGCTTTGGTCTTGAGGTTGCGAGGTGCGCAATTTGCAATGGGCTTTGGGTGTACGGCGTAATGTTTCAATTTGGTTTGGTCTAGAGGTTTGATTCGATGTAGGAGTTTGCATAGGATGCAGTTGCATGTTTCACTCTGTATAATAATCGTTGTTGGCTCAAGCCTGGAAAATAGTGCGCTGAGTGATTAGCAGACGCTAAATCTCCGTTCATGGTAGCGGAGCGGCTTGGTTGAAAGTCGCTTCGAATGGGTGGTGTCTGCTGCCGCAGAGCACGCAGACAGAGGATTGCCCAGGAACGTTGGGCACGATTGGTTCGGCGCCTGCAGCGGATTCGCCGGCTGCAGCGCATCTGGCACAACCTGGGGTTGCATCTCCAGGCAGTGCTAAGCACACGTGCTTTCAGGAGATTGCTCTCGAGGACACACCCTCGAGAAGAGTGAACCACTTGGGCGAAATAGGCCCAAGGAGGTGAAAGAGAGCAGAGATGGCGACACAAGAGCAAATGATACAAGAAATGCCAGCGCTGAGGCAAGAGCTCGCGCGACAAGCACAGCAGCACAGTCAGGACTTGGAGCAAGTAAGGGCCGAGAGCCAGCAAAGGTTGACCGAGGCTACGCAAGCGGCGCTGGCTGCGCAAGGGCAGCTGAGCGCGCTACCGACGATTGTCCGAGAAATGGGACAAACATTGCAGGATGCATTGAAAGGCCAGAGCAAAGAGCTGGCAGATGCTATGAAACGCACAGCGTCGGAAGATAAAGGAAAGCTGGTGCTAGTAGACACCAAAGGGCTTGGAAAGCCGAGCACATTTTCGGGAGATGCCGAACAGTTTCTTCCGTGGCGTCACAGGATGCTCGCCTACATCTGCTCTATCTACCCAGAGCTTCGTGAAGCTTTGGAATGGAGCGAAGAGCGAGAGAAGGCGATCAGCACAGAAGAGCTCACGGAAGCATTCGGCGAGAAAGCCGACGAGATAGATCGTATCCCGAATCTGTTTGAAAAGTCGACGGAGCTGTCTTCGGCACTGCAGATGGTCACTGCGAAAGAGCCGTTTGCGATAGTGATCAATTGCAGCACGAATGGTTTCGAAGCTTGGCGAAGATTGGCTCGAAGGTACGACCCGTCGACAGCCTCGAGAAAGAGATCAATGCTCAAGTCCGTGATCAATCCGCAGAAGCAGAAGCTGGAGCATTTGCCGCAAGCTATCGAAGAATGGCTTGATGCAATTGCTTCGTACGAGAAGAGAAAAGACGCGAGCGGGAATAGGACCAAGATCCCGGAAGAGATAAAGACCGCAGCGCTTGAGTCTATGCTACCGCAAGACCTAGAAGCGCATGTGCAGCTGAACCAGTCGAAGTTTTCTGGGTTTGAGGATCTTCTTGAAGAGGTCACCAGGTATGTTGAGCATCGTACCGGGAAGACCTTGAAGGCATTCTCTACGACCCAAGTCGCCGGCAAAGGAGATCTGGGAGACCCGATGGATGTTTCATCTTTTGGGCAAGTCCCAGGAAAGGGCGGCGGCAAAGCGCCAAAGTTTCTGGGAACCTGCAACAACTGCGGCAAGCAAGGCCACAAGGCTGCCGATTGCTGGCTTCCAGCAAAAGGCGGCAAAGGAAGCTACAGCAAGAGTCCAGGGAAAGGTTCGCCGAAGGGACCCGGCAAGGGGAGCTCAAAAGGAGGTAAAGGTCCCAAAGGAAAGACACCGAAAGGAAAGCCCAGCGGCAAAGGACCGAAGGGCAAAGGAGGCAAGAAAGGAAAGGGCAAAGGAGGAAAACACGCCAACAGCCTCGAAGAAGCAAGCGGAAGCAATGACCAGGAGACGTGGAACGAGCAACCGGAACAAGAGGAATCCTGGGAACAAGGCGAATGGCCGGAAGACCAGGGCTGGGAAGACTGGCCCGAGGAAACCGAGTGGAAAGAAGGAAACGGGCTGCTGATAGGCGGCCTGGAGGAGGAAAAGAAGGAAGGAAGGAAAGAGAAGAAAGAAGAGAAGAAGACAGAAGAGAGAAAGAAGAAAGAAGGAAAGAAGGAAGACTCCGCAGCCGTTTCTGGTCCAAGCGGGTCGGGAAAAATGTCGGACTTCGGGGACCGCCTTCGGAGTGCCGGCTTGGACCCGTCCCAGCTGGAAGGGCTTACGGACGACGAGGCCAACGAGTTGCAGGGGGCCCTTTTGGCGTCCCTTGTGGCTCTCCAGGCGAGGGCCAAAGCACGGGCCCAAGGACCGAAGGCAGCGGAGGCTAAGCCAAAGGAGCCAGAGCCCAAGGCAAAGGAAGAGCCCAAACCGAAGGAAGCCAAGGCGAAAGAAGCCAAGGCAAAGGAACCCAAGAAGGAGGAAGCCGAGAAGGCAAAGCCGAGGCCAAAGGAGAAAGAGAAGGCGAAGGCCAGCTCGGGCGTTTCGCCCGGAGCGCGGCTGAAGCCGATCTTTGTGCACCCTCCTGAGGGGCCACCGCCTTTGAGAAGGGCGGTGTCTGGGAGCGCAAGGCCGGCTGAGCCGGTAAAGGCCCCAGAGCCGAGGGCTAGGGCGGCAACTCTGCCACCTAAGCCCAAGGTCTTGCCGAAGGCTCCGGTGCCAGGGTCGACAAAGGTTGCAGAGCCTAAGGGACCACCGCCTCCTAAGGCAAAGCAGGAGCGCGGAAGGTCGCCGGCTAGGAGGCCCAAGTCGCCCAAGACCCCGGAGAAGAAGCCAGAGAAAAAGGAAGAGAAAGAGGAAAAGGAAGAAGAAGAGGAGCCCGAACCGGCGAGTAGCAGCACAGACGGACCCAGGCTGCGACTGAGGCTCAAGGTGATGCGAGAGCTGAAGTCGAAGGAGGAATGGGCAAAGATGTCCTACGAAGAGAGAAGGGAACACCAGGATGGGATCCGGAGGCTGCTGCCACCAGGGACGGTCGGGCAGCATATCCTCAAGAAGCAGGGAAGCGCCTGCAGCACGTGCAGGACAAGGCGAAAGAAAACGAGGAAAGCTGTGCAAGAGTACCTGCAAAGGAAGAAGAAAGAATACGAGGGGCTTAAGAAGCCACCACCTGTGGGGCTCGCGAGGAGCCTGCTGCACCGGGAAGGCATGCTGAAGCCACCGGGTGAAAGAAGAAGCTCCGGCAAGAGAGGAGCCAAAGAGGAAGAGAAAAGCGAAAAGGAAGAAGTGAAAGATGAGGAAATGGAAACTGTGAGCGTGGAACCGGAAGCCGGCAGCGACCACGAGGAAGACCTCGAAGAAGAGGAACCAATGGAAGAAGATGCGACCATAGAGGTCAAGGAGTACCAAGAGCCCGGCGAGAAAGAGATCGCACGGGCAAAGCAGGAGCACGCTGCAAGGATCAGTGCTCTTCGCGAGAAAAGAAACAAGGCCTATGCGGAAGCAAAGGCAGAGGCCAGCCAGCCGAAGGCGAGCGAGGCCGGGGCCAACGAGCCCAAAGCGGCGAGTGCCGCGACGGCAGATGCCACGTCGATGTCTTCGTCGACGGTGATGCAGAACCTTCTGCACGGCAGTCTGCTTGGGGGCCTCATGGTGGATCGAGGCCGTCTGCTGAAGAGGCTCGACGAGCTGAACAAGCTCAAGAAAGAAGAGATGAATGAGGACGATTACGAAGAGAAGGCGAATATCGAGGTGGAGCTGGATAGCATCCTCGAAAAGATCACCAAGCTCAAGGAGCGAGGCCGTGCAAAGGCAACACCGGAGAAACCCGGAAGGTTGGACCAAAGTACGCACGATGCGAGGTATCGTGCTGCACGGGCCAAGGGGGTTCCACACGCCAAGGCGTGGAAGGAAGAGAAAGCCCGAAGGCGTGCGGCGGAGCAACGCCGCAAGGGAACGAAAGAGCGAGCAGAGATCAACGTGAAGACGCAAAGGGACTGGGCCGAGCATTTTGCCACCAGGCCCGGCAAGAAGGTTGACAACACCAAGGTCGATGCTGTGGATACCGTGGTGATAGATGCTTCTGGGAAGGAGGTCGCCAAGGAAGAGGCGACAGACCTGGCGGCGAAACCTTTGAGCCGCAAGGAGCGGACCTACTACCGCCAGGAGTACGACGAGGAGCTGAAAGAGAGAAAGGAAAAGGTCGAGAAGCCGCGGGACCCAGAGAAGAGAAAGAAGATCAACGAGAAAAGAGCGTTGAGAAGGAAGCGGCTTGCCGACAAGGTTAAAGGAAAAGGGAAGCACAAAGGAAAGCAGAAGGGAAAGACGAAGGAAAGAGGAGAGAAAAGAAAAGAGCCCGAGGAGGACGAAGATGATGATGAAGACGAAAGTTGGGGCGGATGGCGGCCCGACCAGGGCCCTGAGGACCCCAAGGATCCTCCCGAGGGCGACGCAGTGGTTGCCTCTGTTGAGGTGAGCCTGGCCACGAATGCCGTTTCGGCGTCCGGCGGCCAAAGCCAAGGTCCGCAGGACCAGCGTGTCGAGGTGAACTTCGACAGTGGTGCCGCCGTGACGGTGGTGCCAATGAAGTATGGCCGTGGAAACGAGAAGCCTCGTGAGGAGATGAAGTTCAAGACGGCAAGCGGCCAGAACATACCCGACTATGGGCCGATTCGGCTCAAGGGTACAACCTCGAGCGGCAACAGCGCCACACTTTGTGGCCGCCTTGCAGATGTGCACCGAGTGCTTGGATCGGCCTCGGATATCTGCCGATCCCACCACGCCGTTCTTGGAGAGAACGGTGGTTACCTTATCCCGAAGGGGAATGAATTCGGAAAGGATTTTGATGTGATGATGAGGAAGCTGCTCAAGAAGCATCGCAGCTACCCGAAGAGCGCTACGAAGCTCCACGTGCGACGTGGGGTTTACGTCTTTGACCTTGCCTGCGGCCCTTTTACGGGGCAGCAAGACGCGTAAGGCCAAGGGTGAGAGGTAGCGAAGTTTCACCGGTAGAGGTTTCACCTAGTGACGGAGTGGCCCCGGCGGTTGGTGAAAACCAGGGGCCCGTAGAAGAGAGTGAGAGAGTGGAGAGTAGAAGGAATGAAGGAGAAGAGGAAGGAGAAGAAAGGATTGAAGGAAGAATGGAGGAGCCCGAAGACGCGCCCGGAGAAGAACAAAGGAAAGTGAATGTTCCTTTGGGGCCGTCTCAGCCCACCGCGAGGGAGATCGCGGAACACGAAGCAAGTGGACACGCGGTCCACAGGAGCTGGTGCGTGCACTGCACGCGCGCCAGGGGGAAAGTGCAAAGCCATCCGAGAACGGATCGTTCTGGAGAGGGCGAGGTGCCAGCCCTCCATGCTGACTACTTCTTTCTGGGTAGCAGCAAGGAACGTGATGATATCATGCCACATCTGGTGGTACGGTGTGACAGAACCAGGAGAACGTGGGCAACAGCGTTGCCACAGAAGGGCGTGACGCCTTTCAGCACGAACTGGTTTTGTTCTATCGTGCGGGAAGCCGGTTGGAAGCGCATGGTGTTGTTTTCGGATAACGAGCCGGCGCTCGTTGCACTGAAGCAAGCAGTGGTGGAAAACATGAAGGACGTGGAGATCACTCTGAAGGAGTCTCCGACCTCGACTGATGAAGAGAACGCGCCGAGCAATGGCATTGCTGAGTCAGCTGTTCGGGAAGTTAAGCGAATGATCAGGGCTATACTCTCGGACCTCGAGAGCAAGCTCAAGTTCAAAGTGGACCCGAACCACAGTGTGCTAACCTGGATAGCCAGACACGCGGCGTTCCTTCTGACAAGGTTCAGAATTGGAGATGATGGAAAGAGTGCTTACCAACGTGCTGTTGGAAGAGAGTGGAGAAGGCCGACAGTGGTGTTTGGGGAACAGATCCTGTTCAAGCCTGTGGGTGCCATGGGCAAGAAGAGGAGTTCACCTTTGGAGCCACGAGTGGCCATGGGACGCTATGTGGGTACAGCGAGCAGGAACGCGGACCTCCTCGTGATGACGCCCACTGGTGTTGTGAAAGGACACTCTTTACACCGAAGGCCGGAGGAAGACCGTTGGTCGAAGGATGGGTTCGACCAGTTGAGAGGTTTGCCGTGGAAGTGGACCAACCCAGTTGAGCGAGCACCGCCCAACCGAGTGGACATGCCCGAGCTTGTTGGTGAACAGCCTGTTCCTGATCCTAAAGAATATAGGGCGAGGAACCTCTACGTGCTCAAGAGCGACTTGGAGAAGTATGGCTACACCACTTTGTGTCCAGGGTGTGAAGCGCTGATGCTGGGACTGCCACAAAGGAGCCACAACCCAGAGTGTCGGCTCCGCATCCAAAGGCACCTCGTTGAAACCGAGGAAGGAAAGCAAAGAGTGCAGAGAGCACTCGACAGACAAGAGAAAGACTACTCCACGAAAGCGCGGAAGAAGCGAAAGGCCGAAGATCAACCCGTTTTGGAAGGTCAGCCTGCTGATGGCGAAATCGCTGCTGAAGAAGCAGCCGGTGCGCCACTTGAGCGCCCTAGCCAGTTGCAGGACGACAGCTCTGCGCAGCGAACCCAGAAGCGCGAGGCAGAGCAACACGTCGAAGATCTTTACAGGGAAGAGCAGGAAACTGACGAGCCCGAGATCGTCAGAGCGAACCTCCAAGGTGGAAGCTCAGGTTCTGGAGGAGAGAACACCGACCTGTCTTACAAGCAGGTGGAGGAAGCTCAAATGGATGATGTGAGTCATCTAGAGAAGGAGTTCCACTCAAGAGGGATGCAGTGTACGAGGAAGCAAGCAGAGGAGATATCCAGCCTAGTTGGTTCACTAGGCGTGGACGTCAAAGCCTCTGTCCCTCTGAACGAGGGACTGTGTCTCAGCGTTGAAGACAAAGGCTGGAAGCTCCAGAAGCAGGACGAAGTGGAAGCTTTGCACAAAAGGCTGGAGGCTGAAAAGCCGACGTTACTCGTGGGACTACCGCCTGATGGTCCGTTTGCGGGAGTGCAGAGAAGCTACAACTCCCTCCAGAAGGCGAAGAAAGAAAAGGAGAAAGAAGTGCTGGAAGCAGGGAGGAAACAAGTGAGGACCTGCGTTGAAGCATATCAGTACCAACTGGGACAGCAGAAGTACTACCTTCAAGAGTGCCCCAAGGGAGCAAAGTCTTGGGAGCACACTCAGTACCAGCCTATGTGGTTGAAGGGCCAATGTGCAGGTGGACTGTGGACAACAGCGGAGGAAATCTCCAAGGAGCGAACTTCAAGAAGAAGACCCGCTGGATCACGAACTCCGCTGCCCTAGCTGCAGCATTGAGAAAGGTGTGTACGCAAGGAGCGAAAGAAAGAGTTTGGCAAAGAGACCTCACGTTTGAGGAGGGGAAGGTTGCAGCAAAGCTGCGCTATCCTCCTAAGTTAGCTCACGCGATTGCCAAGGGCATTCGAGCGCAGTTGGTGCTCGACGGTGAACTTCAAGCAATCGGTTCTGTGGCTGGACCCGATCCACACGAAGAGCCGAACTTCGAAGAGCACCACTACGACACCCTGCCGCGAGCAGATGAGCTATACGTGAAGACTCCGGTGATCGATGCGAACACCGGTGCCGAGCTCGACCCGTCGAAAGTTGCAAAGGCACGCCTAACGGAACTTGAATGGGTCAAGAAGCAAAACGTATACACCAAAGTAGACGAAACAACCTGCTGGCAAGAAACTGGAAGACCGCCCATTACCCTCAAATGGGTCGATCGAAATAAGGGAGACAACGTCAACGAAAACTACAGGAGCCGACTTGTAGTCCGTGAAGTGAAGTCTCAGGGTCAGGCAGCGTTGCTGCCAGAACACGCACTTTTCAGCTCGATGCCGCCACTCGAGGCAGTAAAGCTGTTGTGTTCACTAATGACCACTTTGCGCGTTTCGCGCAGAGGAGCCAAGTTGTCGTTGCGGTTGATTGACATCAGCCGTGCCCACTTCTATGGTCGTGCCACTAGACGCGTTTTTGTGACCCTTCCAGAGGGTGATGAGTCTGAGGGCAAGTGTGCACTCTTACTCAAAACAATGTATGGGACGCGCGATGCGTCGAGTACGTGGCAGCGAGACTATAGCGAGCTCATGAGGAAATATGAGTTCGTCGCAGGCAAAGCTTGGCCATGCATCTTTTACTGCGAAAAAGAAGACATCCGACTGCTAGTCCATGGAGATGATTTCTTTTGCTTGGCAGATGATGAAGGCCATGCCTACCTAGACAAAGCCTTGACAGAGCGCTACGAGTATCGATGTGATGGTCACATCGGACCGAACCATGGGGAACAGATGGTCGTACTGAATCGTCTCATCTGCTACAACAAGGAGACTGGGACAGTCACCTACGAAGCAGACCCCAGACACGTGGAAGCTCTGGTGAGAGAACTTAGCCTAGAGTCAGCAAAGCCAGCTAAAACTCCTGCCGAGAAGAAGAAGCAAGGAGAGGTTGTAAAGGCACTTGAAATGCCACCAATGAACGACGCGATGCAAAGAAGCTATCGCTCGATAACCATGCGAGCCGCATTTTTGGCCCAAGATAGGCCAGATATCGCCGAAGCCACCAAAAGTCTTGCCAGACATATGAAGGCTCCGAACGAAGCCTCATGGTCAGACCTAAAAAGGCTCGGGAGATATCTTCGCGGGAAGCCAAGGTTGGTGTTTGAATACCACCAACAACGGTTCCAGAAAGACCTTACCGTTTTCTGTGATTCAGACCACGCTGGCTGTCTCATCACGCGGAGGTCGACAACGGGAATCGTTACCATGCATGGATCACATTGCATCAAGCACAGCTCCAACGTGCAGACTACCGTGAGTCTATCGTCTGGAGAAAGCGAGTTCTATGCAATAGTGAAAGCTGGAGCAGTAGGCCTAAGCCAACAGGCGCTGCTATCAGATTGGGGCATCAAAGTGAACCTAAGAGTTCTGAGCGACAGTAGTGCGGCAAGAGGAACTTGCTCAAGACAAGGTCTCGGACAGACGAGACATGTGCAAACAAGATATCTGTGGGTTCAAGAAAAGGTTGCAAGGAACGAGCTCAAGCTCGAGAGAGTTGCCACCGACAAGAACCTTGCGGATATATGCACAAAGCCGTTACCGGAGGCTGCAGTCGAGAAGCACCTACGCACAATGGGGCTGAAGCACTACGACAAAAGAGCTCAAGGAGGAAAGAAGCTTGTGTGAGCCAGAAGGCCAACAACAGGAGTAGAGGACGAGAGAGAGTGTAGAGGCCAATGGATGCAAAGCATCACCTGGCCTAGGAGGGGTGATTCGATGTAGGAGTTTGCATAGGATGCAGTTGCATGTTTCACTCTGTATAATAATCGTTGTTGGCTCAAGCCTGGAAAATAGTGCGCTGAGTGATTAGCAGACGCTAAATCTCCGTTCAAGGTTTCGAGGTGCGCAAATTTGTGCAATGGGCTTTGGTGCGTATCGTTTCGGGGTTTGTTCAGATTTGTTCAGAGTTCAGAACGTGAGCATATAGGAATTCATGAAGCGCGGCAGTAGACTAGGGTGTCATCCGCAACAAGGCTGCGCAACAAGGTGGAGCAAACTTAGACTTAGACAGTCATCGAAAAACACCCAAGTGGAATCTTTGCAGCAGTCTTCACATAACGGGTATAGCCGATAGAGTGTGCTAGTTCGGTCGTGAGTCAGAGTCTTCATGGCGACATCGAACCCCAGCTCCACTTAAACCTCAAAGTGCTCAGTAACCCTGAGGCCCGTAACCCTCAAAGCCCGCAGACCCGGCAACATACGTCCCCCAGTATCCTCAAACCTGCCACCCCATCCTCAGCCCTTCAGCACGTTAACCCTTGTAGGACACTTGCCGCACCCTTCCAGAAACAAGACCGAAACCGACGCAGGCTCTCCCCAAAATCCCAAACCGGAAGGTTTCGAAAGTGTCGTCGACGTCAACAACAGAAAGCCTGTCGACTCGCCGCGCTCAGGAGAGGGATGTAGTGGGCTGAGTAACGATGCAGTGTGGTTTCGCCTCCACTCTGAGGCAAAACTCTACAACCCCACACTCATTAAGACCCCTAATTGGTTTCTGCCTGAACCTATGAGCCTTCGCTTTTTATTCCTGATTTTGGGCTTCGCATGAACTCGTACTTAAAGAGCCTACACCCCCAAATCCGAAGCCCAGTCTGCACCAGAGACGCCTCTTGCATTCCTTCCTTGTTGGAGTGTAAACTCTATGCCCCTCCGTAAGATCCCAAAGGCGAGGCTTGCCAGGTGAGTTCTCCAATGCGCTGTGTTTTGGGTTCCTGTCTTGGTTTCTTGCTGATACATAAGTTAACACAAGGTTCTCACGCTGAGTTGTGCCAGCCAAGTAAAGGACATTATAGTGGTGGAGAGCAACGCTATAACGGCTTGTGGCTTGCGGTGAACCTGCAGCCATCCTCTCAGGAGAAGGAGTTTGTCCAGAGGCATGACTCCGAGAACAGCGAGGCCCAGAGGGTTCCGAGGTTGTACAGACCGAGGGAACCGGTGTTCCCTTGCCTGGGGCTATAGTTTCGGGTATATGATGATGTTAGGGTTTAGGGCTTCGGAACAGTGTCGAGAACGGTTTCTCTGCGTTTTCTTCCGAGGCAGTGCCTGTTCTATGCTCTCGAGTGCAGCCGTGTTTCTTTTGTTTGACAGGGTGGGGTAGTCTCGCTACCTTTTTTCAGAACCTTGAACAGGCACTACATATGCCAAATGCGGTTCTTACATTCGGACCAACAATCGGACCTTCCAAGAAAAGAGAAGTTCTAGAGGGTAAGGTAGGCCTCATGTCCCTACTGAACCTTAAGCTCGAAACACTACAGCCCACCATTTCATGTATTGGAGATTCGCAAGCCGGGACTTGAAAACCCTCCAAGTCTCCAAGCCCCAAATCCCAAAAGCAACGAATGCCAAAACCCGAATCTGAAACCTTGTATAATTAGTACTTATGTATGTATGTATGTATGTATGTATGTATGTAATTATGTACGTAGGTATGTATGTAGGTAGGTACGTATGTATGTACATGTGTAACTACTTGTGCATCTTTGTGTTTGACTATGGATAGAACTTGATATAACTGTAGATACAGCCCGACACAAAACTGCGCGAGCATGCATTGACATGCAAGCCCTGTTGAAGCCGAGCCTATAGATCCTGAAGCTTGCACTCTCCAGATTTGGTATCTCGTTTGCACCGCTTGGCTGGATAAGTGGAAGGCCTTCGCGGCTTTGGCACGAGCTTGGAAGCTGTTTTGCCTTTGTTTTGGCTTCGGGTTCGGGGTGGGCCGAAGAGAACACGATTTTGCAAGGAAGGCTTGGAGATGCAGTCTTCAGGGGTTTGCTTTTTCCAGGATATACGGGTACAGTGGATTCTTTAGGGCTTCATGAGCTCAGAGTTTAGACGTTGATGGCTGTGTTCGGAGGTCGAGCTTCAGTGACTCGGGTTAAGTTTTAGGACAGCCTGGGATCCACGGCTGGCGTACTCTCGAGATAGATACCAGTCTTCGCAAGCATGTCAGAGCTTCCTCCGGGCCGACAATAAGAACAATTAACTGCAGTTGCAACGATGGCATTATTCTAAAATTGTACTCAGAAGACGAACATGAGTAATAGTCATCGTCATAGAAGTAGTCAGAGCAATAGTCATATCATAGTCAGCGCATGGATAATAGTGGTGATTTTGCCGAGGTTACTGGAAAGGCTGGTCCCCCCGGTCCCATCACCAACGAGACGTTGGTTCGCCCAGATGGCACTCCCCTCCCAGGAAAGAGGGCTGTGGAGCATCTGGGCTTCATTGCTTACGTCTCAAGGACATTTTCACAGTCTAGGGCTTGGGATTTGGGGTCTGGGTTTTGGGGTCTTTGTTTCCCCTGCCTCCAAAGTTTGAACAATGGACCCTATACTGTACTTAAACGCTCACGCCCCTTTCCACAGCTGCCAAAATTCATCAAGCCACGCCGAGGCACTTCCGCGGCGTGAATGCAGAAGTGTGGAAGTGCCCTGGATTGTGTTACTGGCTCCGAAGTGACAAAGGCCTGACCCCGAACGGCGTGAACTCCACAGTTTAAATGTTCTTTGGTGACCGCGCATGCTTTCGGTCATCGTGGCAGGCCTTGTAAGATGCAGAGCACCACACCTGAACCTTACACCCGAAAACCCAGACCTTAAGCTGTCAACCTTAAACTGTCAACCTTAAACCCTAAACCTTAAACCCTAAACTTAACTTTAAGCCCAAAACCCCCAATCTTAAACCGTTAACCCGAACTTTGGCCCGAAATCCGAGGTACTTGCAGTCTCGCCACGGAGGAGGGCCCGAAATCCTTCGAACTAAGCAGATCAAGCTCTATGTTGAGACCTGGCTCTGTACTTATCTGTAGTTTAGGGTTTTAGGGTTTAGGAGGTCGTTGGGGGTCCAGGTACTTATCTGTAGTTAACGGGCTTGGGGCTGAGTGTTCAGGGTGGAGGGTGACAGGGCTTTGGGGCTTGAGGCTGGGTCATTATGTCACAGGGAGTCAAGGCTTACTCAAGCGAATGGGCTTGTCAACAGGGATATGGTACCCACAGGCGGGGGTTTGAGGGTTTAAGTGTCTGGTGTCAGAGTTTTAAGGATGTTTGTGGGTGCCCAATCTCCATGACTTGTTTTCGAGGTCCTCGCTCCCGGCACGAAGTCTATCTCGAAGGCTCTTCAAGTCTTAGATATCTCAACCAAGGTACTTAAACAACCCCCAAACCCTAAACCCGTAAACCCTCAACCCTCCCTAAACCCTAAACCTTAAACCCTTCTTATATATAGTGATTCAAGCCGAGGAGACTGCTACGCCCGCGCCGAACATGTGGTCCAGCGGCCCTGCAAGCCGGGAGGGATTCCAAACGAGCAGGGTTCAGGGCTCTACGGTTCTAGTGTTCCAGAGTTTCAGGGTTTAGGATCCTATAGGGTCTAGGGCTCTAGGGTTTAGGGTTCTAGTGTTCTAGAATTGAGGGTTTAGAGTTTGAGAGTCGTGATTTAACACTTACTTTGCGGGCTGTAGGAGTCGGGGATTGGAGTTTACGCGGGGGCGACTGGGGTTTGAGGGTCGTTGGGACCTGGTGCTGCGTGTTTAGACGCTTGCGTTGATGACAGAACCGTAAACCCTAAACTGTAAACCCTAAACCCTAAACCCTTATAATCAGGATCCCACTATTTAGGGTATTACCCTAAGGCTCAAAATAGCGCAGCCTTACATAGTATGGTCTTTGGGCCCAAAAGCCTTAAGATATGAGACCTTAGAGCCTAAGCGCTAGTTTTCGGAAACTCCTAAACCCTAAACCTTAATAGAACCCTTATAGGTCCCTTAAACGGAGCCCTCACAGGGTCCCCTAAATTTCGGAAGCTCCCAGTTGTCGCAGGTGCCTTTGCCATGGTGAAATCGTCCTTCACGGGCTCTCCGGCCATTGCTCCGATGTGTACTCCGGTAAAGAGCAGCTGGGCTTGAAGTCTTAGGGTTTGGAGAGTTTAGGGTTGGGGGTTTACGGCTTAGGGTTTAGGTTTTGGGGTTTAGGGTTTGGGGAGTTTAGGGTTGGTGGTTTAGGGCATAGGGTTTGGGGTTTAGGGTTAAATCTTTAGGGCTCATACGTTTGACGATGCTGCCCCCTTTAAACCCTGACAACCTAGAACCACAGCCCTCTAAGCCTTGAAAATCCTAAATCACAAGCAGAAACATGAGCCTTCTAAGCCAAAAGCGTTGCGACCACTAAAGCCCTTCAATCTTCTAAACCCTAGACCCTAAACCCTAAATTCTCCAAGCTCTAAACCCTTTAAAGGTCCAAAAGCCATTCAGAGTGTGGATTTTGAGACGTAAAACCCTACTGATTGGGTAATTACTTGGACTCTGAATCCTCTCAGCCCTAAGCCCCTAAACCCGAGACCCCAAACCCTAGACCCTGTGAGCCCCAAATCCTCGAAGCCTTGAGCCCTAAACCCTGGAGCCCTACGGAAAACAGGCAAGCCCATGGCACCGGCAGTGGCGCCGCCTTCGCAGGGCAAGGCTCTCTGTGGGGGCCTGCATAAGCTCAAATAAAAGTCCCGGCAAAGGAAAGCTTATCGGTTTAGGGCTTTAGGGTTTAGGGTTTAGGGGATTTAGCGGTTTAGGGTCTAGGGTTTTAGGGTTTTAGGGTTAGGGGTTTTAGGGGTTTAGGGTTTAGGGTTTTAGGGTTTAGGGCTTTAGGGTTTAGGGTTTAGGGTTTAGGGTTTTAGGCTTTAGGGTTTTAGGGTTTAGGGGTTATTTGGGGGCCGCAAAAGATAGGATGAAGGTGGGTGGGGCATAGAGTCGGATCCCAAATACAGTCAGGGTCCTGATATACGGGATCCTTAAGCCTAGCTGCCTTCATCCCACCTCTGATCTGAGGCTTCCTAGTTATTTGGCGTTAAGGTAGGGCTTGTGGTCTGGAGGCCTGTGCGGAGCAGATTTCGGTTTGTGGGGTTTAGGCATTTGCTTTGTTGGGGCTGGGACGCAGGACGGGTTTCGGGTTGAACCCTCAACCCCAAACCTTAAAACCATAAACCCCTAAACTCCAACCCCTGAGCCCCAAACCCTAAACCCCTAAACCCTATAACCTCAAAACGTCCACAGGTGACCTGCGACAAGTGCGATGGACCACATGCCACGGAGAATTGCCCGCATTTCAAAAAGCCCCGTGAGAAGCATCCGGATGCCTGGTGCCTCGGCCTTTCCGTTTCTAAAGGTTCAGGGTTTGGGGTTGAGGGTCTACAGGATAGGGGTTCGGGATTTAGGGTTCAATTTTGTTGTTTAAGGTTCAGAGTTTAGGATTCAGGTGAAGCGGGTTTAATTAGGGTTGAGGATGTAATGCTGCGAGTTTTGATCGGCATTAAGCCTCTGGAATCAAAGCCTAAGGTTCCCAAATCGTAGCAAGTAGAACCATCAGTCCGGAAACCCGGACATCCCACAGTGGAAGTACAGAGTCTTAGCTTCGGATACCCTTCATACGACGGCAGCTGAGTCGATTCGCCCATATATGCATATGTGCATTTCCCAAATAGACAACACCCCGTAACCCTGAACCCCAAACTTACCCCTGTACTAGAGCCTCTCAGGTGCTTGAAATCTCAGTTCACAAGCCCCAATACCAAATATCCCATACCCTCCGAATCCTGAACCCATTTTACCCTGGAGGTCCTAGAGCCTCCCAGGTGCCCTAAACCCCAAACCCTCAACCCTAAACCCTGAACCCTAACCTTAAACCCCAAACCCTGAGACTCTCAGGTGCTTGAAGCCCCAAAGAATCAAGATCCCGTAACCCTAAAACCCTGGATTCCCAACTCGCCCCTATCCCCGAGAAGCTCTACAGTAGTTCCGTTTCGGGGCTCATACATAGAATCCTACAAAGCAATCTCAGAAAGGAACTACTATGGAGCCCACGGGTATACCCTAGAAGCTCTATAGCCTCTGAGGTGCTTGAAGGGCAAGGCCAAGCTAAACCCTGAACCCTAAACCCTGAACCCCAAACCCTACCTTAACCCTGAATAGCCTACCTTTTCAGGGTTCCTTATTATGATTTCTTTGTATAAGTCCTTAAGAAGGTAGGTTCTTCAGGGTTAAGGTAGAGCCTCTCAGGTTTATGATTTCTTGATATAAGTCCTTAAAAATGTAGGTTCTGCGGGGTTAAGGTAACCCTAGAGCCTCTCAGGTGCTTGAAAGCCCAGCAACCTTATACCCTGGATCCCCAACTCGCCCCTATCCCCTAGAAGCTCTATAGTAGTTCCTTTTTGGGGTCTAAACCCTGAACGCTTAACCTAGAGACTCCCAGGTGCTTGAAGGGCAAGGCAAAGCTTGTCGGCGCGGCCGAGTCGGAGGCAAAGTTCGTTAGCCGCGCCCGCGTTGTTCGCCAGCCGGGGGATGGCTCCCTGGACTCAAACAAAGGGGGGTTTAGGGTTTAAGGTTTGGGGTTTAGGGTTTGGGCCTTAGGGTTTAGGGTTTAGGGTTTAGGATTTAGGGTATAGTGTACTATAGAAAAGAAAACCCCAACCCTTAGGACTCTAAGGACTCATATTTTAAGGCTTTTGCGCCCTTGGACGCAAAGGAATAAAGTATATCCACTGGGTGCCCAAATATGTATATGTATGTGTGTGTGTACATATATATTTTTTTCAGCGCCTACTACATTACAGTGGTAGTAGTATAGCATCTATATAGTATACACTTTAAGGGCCCACAAATGCTCACGAAGTACCTACTATATTGGTACTTGGGAATCTTTGGGGGCACGAAAACCCTCACTAAGACTCCGAGCATACAAGCAGTACCTACTTTGGTTCCTACGGTTGATGATATAAATCCTGCATTACCCATAATGAGGAATATACCATCATTCCCATAGTTTAGGGTCCTTAAGGTAATGCAGGATTTATATCATCAACAGTAGTCGGAGTGTTAGAGCCAAAGATTCCAGGGGCCCATGTAGTTTCGACTTTTGGGAGTGTTTTCAAGTCTAAAGTACGGTTGATGATATAAATCCTGCATAACCCATAATAAGGAATATATGGGAATAATGGTATATTCCTTATTATGGGTCATGCAGGATTTATCTCATCAACAGTATGTCTCGCATAGGGACATGGACTCGTTGGGAAGGCATCCTTTTGGTGCGTAGGTCCTTCCCTTAACGAGCAAAACATGCTCACATCCATCGGAGTCCTGTTGCTCAGCACTTATGTAGTGCCTGAAAGCAATAATGCATGTTTTGTGGACGGTAAGTGAGCCGCAAAGATTGAACCCTCGTTTTCGACAATTCCGAGCCTGAAATTAGACCCTAAACATTACACCAATACCCGGGACCGGGGTTTTGTACATGCCGACCTTCGGCATTTCAACAGGACCACTAGGGTTTGTGAGATGGGGTGCGACGGACTCAGGGTTAGGGTTTTAGGGGTGTTCGGGCTGATGGCTTACACTAGGCTTTATGGTCTTAGGATTTCGGGTATGCGGCTTCGGTGTTGTCATGATTACCTAGAGGCCCCATAGTAGTTCCTTTTGGGGGTTCATATTCAGAATCCTATAAGGTAGCCCCAAAACGGAACCACTATGGGGCTTATGGGTAAGTATCTATGGATCAAGGCAAGCTTCGGAAGAATTGTTATCTCTAAGGTTTCGGGCTAGGGTCTGTAGGGCTAACCAGGACCTACAACAAGGGCCCTTTGATGGAGGTCTACTATGGCCCACAATCGTGGGGTATTTAGGGGGCTTTATAGAGGGTAGTTGGGGGGTCCTGGGAAGCGTCTTTGGTTCAGGGCATTGGGTTCAGACCCTGTGCCCCAAACTGCACGAGCCCTCCGGCCCTAAACCCCCCAAAGCGCGCAGCCCAGGCTCATGCATGTTCCACTCGGTGTCGTATGGACTTGGCGACGGAAGCACAGCCGGGTCACTGCGTAAGAGCGTGGCGGAAGCTTGCTTGAGTGAGATTGATGTCCTGAACCCTAAACCGCACGAACCCTTAACCTAGCCCTAGCTGTAGCCTAGAGCCCTAAACCCACAGAGACTTTGTTGATTTCTGGTTTCGAAATGCGCGGTTGTGGGATACAGACGCTTCGCGGTAACCCTTGGTTCTTGGCTTCCTTGCTTGCATGGCGTGGTATCGAGGACACCATCGCCGCATACCCCAACATGCAAATCCTGGAGACACCCATAGCAGAGTGGATCCGGATGGATGCCAACGTCGGTGTCAGCTCGTATGTCCAAAGCCTCCGGGGCGGCGCCTGGGGTGGCGGAATCGAGCTGGCCGTCGCCTGGACTGTTTTGTAGAAAGATGTTTCGGTGTTTCTAACATTGATCTCCTTGTTGCGCTTGAACTCAAGACATATAAGCTGCTAGAGAGCATGGACGTCTTAAACAGTGGGATTTGCAGGCATTGCCCTCTTTGTTCTCAGTCTCATGAACCCCATCAACCCAAGACCACTAGCCTAGCGGACAACAGTTTCTGGACATGTCGCTGCTAAGAAAAACAGTACAGACAACTGAGGTTCTTGCACAGATGAAAAAGGTCAACATTGAAGTCTATGAATCTCGCCGCGGAGGGTACGCCCGCATTGCTCGATTCGGCTCAGGTGGGTAGGTGTTGTGAAACAGGAACTACTTGTAGCCTCAATCCCGACAAAAAAATCGTATGGTATGACCGTTTAGTATTGGTGATCACTCCTAAACGGCGGCTTTTGGATCACCAGGTTAGTCGAAAAGTTCTGGTTGTACCAGGGCTCAGCGCGTAAGGTTTGTTTCACCCTAAACTGGCCCTAACCCCTAAACTCTACACCCTAAACCCTACACCCTCAGGTACACCCTTAGCCTAAATGAAGCCGTAATCCCGACTACGTAGCCCTAAAGAAACAACAGACAGCTGATGTCCAAACCTCGAGTCCTACCGTATAGGGGGTCTGAATGACTGGCATAATTACCGTACCAGGCCCTGTATGTCTGCAATGTGTGCACCACTGCCCTGTTCCAATCAGGAAGGCCCCAAATGAGTTAAGCCACACATCAGAAACCACGAGGTGGTCGTACCGTGCCGATCCTGTACCAGGGTCGCTTGCACTATGACGCGCTCGTGCTGAACTGAGCAGTTCCAGCTGTGCGATTCCCGAATCATCTATGTGAACTTCCCCTTTCTTCTGAGAACCCCCAAATGCCAAGCTGAAGCAATGCAAACCGTGCCTCTTGTGCGGTTGCTGCCACATGCATCTACATCGAACCGTCGTGCATAGATAACTAGATTAGATATTCACAGACAAGACACGTGCACTCACTCAGACCTGTCATGTTTATATACGTAACATACTTATGACCGTTGTCCTTTCTGCACGCTGACATTTTCTGGTATCTTTGATGAACCAGAGTATTGGCATTGGGTTCCTGTGCTTTTTGTCCCAAAGGGACAGATGCCACTTGACCAGGATCGGCAGATGCTTCATATCGTCTCTGAAACCAAAAAGCCCCAGAAGCGAAGCAAGCATCCATGACCTCGAGCCCACCAGAAGTTGCATGGTTAGGCGGGCAGCAGCCTAAAACCTTAGACTTGGCGGTTTAGGGTTGGGTAGGGCTTAACCTTCAGTTTCGGGATTCAGGGTTTGGGATTTAGTGTTTAATAGGGTTCAGGATTTATTCCGGTTTCTCTATCAAGTCTCTCGAGGTTCTCTGGCATGATAAGAAGGAAAGCGCAGTCTCAAACCTGCTCCTGCATACGCGGCTGAACATAATATGCCATGCTCAAAATCCCCCCATGCGCCTAGGCCGCTAGGTACAGTCTCCACTGTTTTTCGTTTTTTGTGAACCAGGTTCCACGCCTAGGGCGCTATAATACGAAATTGGTTAGTTAAGAAAGGGAACCACGCTGCAGCTTGAGGTAAATCTGTTTCGCAACCCAGGATCCTAAACCCGAAAAATCCTACTACCCCCCAGCGCGTGGAGAGGCATGCTTTGCCGAAAGCACGTCAGCATTTGGGCACCAGATCAGCTCGCAGCCGCCTCAGGTTTGCTTGAGGTTTAATGTCTTCTGTGTAATATAGGGGCCTTAATAAAAAGATACTGTTTTGGGGTACATATTACTCCAACTATAACAAGGAACCCCCAACCTGGTATAGACGAGGGTGTAGGGTTAATTGTGGACTGATCTACCCAAGCCTACTTCGGGTCTACAACACTGGTATAGGGTTTAGTGGCTCTGCCTTGCGTTACGGGCTGTTTCGATGTCTGTCCGCTTTGAGGTTCTCCTTCTGAAGTGATACCTGAAACCTTTGACCCTTAACCCGAGTTCCTAAACCCGAAACCCGCACACCTAGCCTTTCAGCCTTCATCGCTGGAGCCTAACATAGAGCCTGAGCCCCTCCCGGTATGAATATATCTATATACATAAATAAATAAATAAATAAATGAATATATATATATATATATATATATATATACATATATATATATATATATGTATAGTAATATACAGTAATCATGTATTTGTTTACTCACTTATTCCTTTTATCTTTCTGAGTAATTAGCCATAGGTTAAGGCACAATCCCGCCACCCCTCCCGAAAAATGAGAAACAACCTGATCTAGTCCTTTGTTGTGCTGAGGTGGCTGGCATCGTGAGGGTCACCGCGCTGAAGATCAGTGTGGGGCACTACGCCAACCAGGGGCCAGCATCCTCAGGGTTTATCTAGGCTTCAGAACGTGTATAACGTTTAGCGAGCATCGAATTTTGAGTTTACAGGGTTTAGGTTTTAGGGATCCTACTCCTTGGCCCTAAACCAACGGTTTAGGGTTTAGGTTAGGTTGGTTGTAGTATGAACGGGCTTTGAGGATTCAGTTTCGGGTTCAGGGTTGCTGTTCCGAAGATCTAGTTTTTGGACGGAAACGGAAACAGACAACCCTCAGGGGCTGGGAAGTTAACTGTTGATTTGTCTGTGTACACAAATGCGTGGCATACTTACCCTAAGGCTCCGAACACGTCCAAGTAGGTATTACTTATAGACTGTGGACGCCGAAGCAATTACTATTTGTATTCTTGGAGTTCAAAATGGCTCCTATTTGTATTCTTGGAGTTCAAAATGAGAAGGTCAACTTTTCAGGGGCCAGCGAAGTCAGCGACCCGAGGGGACCCGAGAATGCAGGGCCTCTTCCTGGGTGGATCGCTAACTTCTGAGGTCGCCGCGCGCCCCAAATGTCTGGGAAGGCGATGACGATGAGGGTGTCAAACCCTGTTGAAAGCTCGTGAGATGCACGCTATTCGGCGGAAGGCTGACTTCGATGGCCAATGGAACAGCATTGATGAACACCGATCTCCAGCAGTGGACCGAGAAGAGGTGCGAAGAGATGGCTAGGCGCTTGGATGCGCAGCGACCTCAGTTGGTCGCTGGATGCGCTGTTGGCATCAGCGCATTGCTTCTGCTCCAAGTGCAAGCGCCTTGGCAGCAACTGCGTCTGCGACGAGCCCGACTTCGACGACTTGGCCTGCAGCGGAGCCACCATCAGACTCCGCCATCGAAGCGATAAGTTTTAGGGCTTTAGGGATTACAGTTAGAGCATAACCCCCCTGGACGCAAACCTGGCTCCGGACTCGAAGCACCGGAGGACCAGCAGCCTCAGCTCCGTAAAATAGGGGAGCATCCTTCATGTAAGCGCTCCTGAATCATCCTAAGAAACCTCCGTCGTAGTCTTCTAAGGCGTGTTTCAGATTGCTTGGATTTCCGGGCTCAGGGTTTCGGGCTCAGAGTTGTTTTTTTTTTTATCTTTCTTCCTTCAGCCCGCCTTCAGCTCGACAGTTCTACCCTCAAGAGTTTAAGAGTCACAGTAGAAGCCAGAAAGTTGGAACATGGCTTTAGGAGGATTAGTGCTAGGATCCCTTATACTTTACCCTAAGGGCATGAGGATAATCATGTTTCAACTTTCTGGCTTCTACTATAAGGGGCTGGCAGGTTTGTAGCCTGCTGGGTTGGTAATCTTCAGGCTCTATGCTTCTGAGACAAAATTTGTAAACAAGAAAAACCCTAAGGATCTAAGGGCTTTATGTCTAAAGGCTTTTTGGGCCCACAGAGAATGTTATGCGAGGTGTTGTTGGTTATTTTGAGCCTTAGGGTAATATATACATCCTAGCAAAGCTCTCTGAAGACCCTCTACCAGCACCCCCCAACCACCCTCTATTATACCCTAAGTACCACTATTAAGGGTCATAAGGGCTCTGTTAGAGGGTACATGGGCGGTGCTGGTAAGCCTCACTCTAAGCCCACATCTGCTCAGTTTTTCCGATGCACGGGCTGGCAGCGCTTACGGCGTTGGACGCCGGACGATCCTGCAGGCAGGGTGAGGTTGTAGCTTGGGACTTGGGTTTGTTAACGTGGTTTAAGGTTTAGGGCTAAGGGGTTAAAGTGTCCGGGTTCGGATGGTGACTTCGTCGACAACCTAATTCGGCTGATTTGGGTGTTGCAGATGTGTCCCTGAGACTTCTGCCACGGAATTTCCCAACCTTGAGACTAAAATCGCCAAAACCCTCCGCCCTAAATACTGGACCGGAGATTGAATCCCCGAGTCCCTAGCCCCAATAACCTCGAGGCCTTAAACCCTTAACCGGAGACTACGTTTCCCCCAGACCCCAAACCCTAAGGGTCCATGTACCTATATAGTATATACATGGGCCTTAAAGTAGTCCCTACATAGGTACTTTAGGGCCAAGGTACCTGTTATGTGGGTACATGGACCCGTAGGGAAATGGCAGGTGCGCGACCGACGCGCCTTCCGCGGATATTCTTCACAAGCGTTCCGCCCTCGGGTCTGAACATGTTTGAGTTTAGGCCCAGAGATCCCTTACTTAAGGAATATGCCTTAAACCATATAAGGGATCCTACTATAATTCAAGGTATATTCCTTAAGTAAGGGATAGTGGAGTCTCTAGGGGGTTTAGTTTTTGGGGTTCGGGTATAGTGTTTACCTAGACCACCCCCGAACTACCCTCGAATATACCTTAAAGATTCTCATGATTACGGGCCCGCATTTACACAACTTCCACGAAAACATCTTACGAAAGCCCACACATTCGTCAATTCGGGTCCAAGCAGCTGTAAATTTGATTACAAGCCCGAAGCTACCGGCGTGCGGCATTCCGATGTTGTGCGGGGTATGTCTGCAGAGTTTCATGGTGCGGGATTGGCCTGCCGATGGAGGTCTGCTGAGCGTGTGCTCCTACTCCTACTCCTACTACTCTTGCTAGCTACTCCTACTAGTCCTCCGATTCCTCATCCTACTCCCAACACTGCTGCCGCTGTGGCTCCTGCAGTAGTACTGCTGCTGCTGCTGCTGCTGCTGCTGCTGCTGCTCCTTCTGCTGCTGCTCCTTCTGCTGCCTCTGCGACTGCGACTACTACTGCTACTGCTATTGCTACTGCTACTGCTGCTGCTGCTGCTGCTGCTGCTGATACTACGACGACGACGCCGACGACGACAACTGCTACTACGACTGCACTGACTGCAGTTGCACCCCTTCACCCATCTTGCGACCGCTGCTTGTGCTACCATGGCGAGGATCCGACAGCAAGTGCTGCATCAACCGAGAAGCACTCCTCAGCTTAGTCGCCGCACGATAACTCCAAATTCCAGAACCCATTTATAACCAGAACGCTCCCGGAGTATTTGCTATTTACCCAGAGGGTCCATATATACTGCCATTACGGAGTTAGGCCCCAACAGACCATCCTAATAAATGCTTTGGGGACCTAGTTCCAAGTCAGTAGTAGTGGTGGTAATAAGTAGTAGTAGTAGTAGTAGTAGTAGTAGTAGTAGTAGTAGTAGTAGTAGTAGTAGTAGTAGTAGTACTACTACTACTACTACTACTACTACTACTACTACTACTACTACTACTACTACTAGTAGTAGCAGTATATATGATGCAGGGCTGCCACACCCCCCCTCCCCCCCCCACCCCATGGTATCCTCCCCCCTTCCCCCCCGCCCCCCCTGTGGTGTGGGGCCTGTGGTGGTACTCTTTTTGCCACGACGTTCTTATGTGTTACTCCTTGTCTTCCCTCTTGTTGTGGCACCGGTGATACTGCTCATGATGTTGTGCTGCTCTAGACCGG